AAGTAGTCGAGCAGAAACTGTAAAATTTGATGATCTAGGATGAAATCAGCCGACCTGATTCAGGTTTTTGGGGGTGTAAAGCTGATGAAAGCTGCAGTTTGCAGACTGATGCAGGAATAAATGTGACTGTGGTTGGACGGGGTGAGCCTTGTGATCTAATCCATCATCAGTGTTTACAGTCCAGTCGTCCTGCTGCTGTTTCCGCTCCACATGAAGTCAACCTTTCCCTGAATGTTTTCCTGTGTGGGCGTCAGATTTTTCCTCGCCTCAGTCGGGAGAAGCTGCATGTTGTTTTCTGGTGTCAGACGGAGGCCTGACATGCTCGGCGTAGGAGGGATCCTGAACGAAGCCTTGACTCACGGCCTTATTAACATTCCTGCTGCCACATTATATCCAGCGCTGCAGGCCGCCACCGCTCGGCTGCACCGAACGCTGCGAGCGTTCACCGTGCAGCCGACTGAACGCTGCTCAGCTGCTGCTCCGGCGATCAGGGTCAGAGGAGTGCGAGTGAGGGAGCGAATGAGGCCACGCTTCCTGCCGCAGCAGCAGCCCTGGTTTGTTCTGGCATCAGCTGTGTGGCAGTGAATGTGCACGACGGCTGCAGAGCTGCACATGCTGCATGAAGCCAGATGCAGCTGGCGCTCAGACACGCAACCTGCAGCCAGGCAGCGCTGCGGTCGTGGAGAGATTAGCTATAAAAATGTGCGTAACCAGAGAAATGCGTCTCCATGTTTCACTCTTTTCCACTCAGGCAGTTAGAGGACGGACGTCGTGTTAACCTNTCCAACACAAATGTCTCAAAGTGCAGTCTGGGCTGTTTTAAATATGATGCTGGAATGTGATAAAGATAAGCTCTTGTCTAAAACTGGAAACCACGTCAACATCCACTCTGGTGTCAGACGTGCAGAGCAAACCCAGCAGCAGAACTTCTTCTCTTTAGTCTACATGCAGCATGTGTGGACTAATAAAATACGTCCATGTCTCTGCAGGATTATCCGTCTCTGGCTCTTCTCGGAGAGAAACTGGCAGAAAACAACATCTTCCTCATCTTTGCGGTGACGAAGCGCCTCTACGTTATTTATAAGGTACGTCATCTTTTATTCTCTGTGAATTAATCATCACACACTCTATCTATTCTTAGAAACCTCATCCATCTTTTATTTCTACGTCTTTGAAGGACTTCACTGCTCTCATTCCGGGGACCACGGTGGAGATCCTGGACCAGGACTCCAAAAACGTCATCCAGCTGATTATCACGGCCTATAATGTGAGTACGGAGGCTGTGTGCTGCCGACTGGGGCTGCTTCCTGTTTCATAACATCACAGAGGGTTTAAGCAGAAAGATGAAACGAGGGGCTGGAAGCAGAGGCAGATTCTTTAAAGTCTTCCCACCGCCGGGACGCTTAATGAGCCTCCAGCTGGAGTTCTCATCTTGGTGCAGACGTCAGGGTGTTGTAACAGCTGACTGTAGCGAACTGGACGTCTCTGTAGAAATGTTGTTCAGGAGGAGAGAAGCTTTTAGTGGGTTTGTTTGTTGGTTCATTGACAGATAAGCAGCAGTCTCTGATAACGTCAGTTATTAATCTGGAATGTTAAACGTTCTCTTGTCTCCTCAGATGTGAGGATTTGTCTGAAGCTGCATAAATATGTTCAGAAGGTTAGCCATGTTTACATTATAGTCTTATTTGGTTTTCACATTGTTTATAGAAACAGCAACTTAATAACACAACTTCAACTTTGCAAAAAAAAAGTGCTTTTGGGTTTTGACTTGACTTTTAGTTAATGAGCGTCACGGAGAGTTCTTCAAGTTTTCTCAGCAGCTGTAAAAAATAAACAACTGCTTTTCTGCTTCACTATTATTTATTGAAATGTGGTTGTGGTCGGAGTTTTTCACTATTTTCTGTCAGATAAAGCTGAGATAAGCAGTGTTTTAATGTCATACTACAGTAGTACATGCTATTATATATGTACCACAGGTGAAGTGGTTTTAATGGAAACTAGACCTGCACCTTGGGTCTGTTTTCACAATTTATAAAATTGAACCTGTGGCGGGAGATTTCAGCCAATCACAGTTAACAACAGAGTGGAGCTTTTTCCATAAACCAAGTTTACCGAATAAACCAGGTTTAGTTCAGTTAATCTGACTCGCTTTCAGGTTATTTGGGTTCCATAAAGTCAGTTGAAATAGTTCGAGGTTAGTTACTC